ACCATGTAAATGTATATTTTGTTTTTTTTGTAACTTTGTCAAAAATTGTTCACCATTTAGGAAAATCACATAACCAACAGCATTTACTTTGGTTTTGGCTCTCCTTTATTTTACTGTATGGCATGATATAATGTGTAAGTAGTAGTTAGTTTCCTATGGTTGCCGTAACATATCATTACAAACTTGGTGGCTTAAATAAGAAATTTATTCCATCACAGTTCTAGAAGTCTAGCTTCAGTGGGTCAAAATCAGGGTATCAACAAGGCTGTGCTCCCTCCCCGTTCCTTGTCTTTTCCAGCTTCTGGTGACTCCTAGCACGCCTTGATTTGTGTCCATACCTCTGGTTCTGTGGTCACAATGCCTTCTTCTCTTCTCCCTGTGATCTCCTCCCACGATGCACAGGACTGCATTTGGAGTCCACCAGGATAATCTCCCCATCTCAATATTCTTAACTTAATCACACCTGCAAAGTCCTTCTTCACCACATATGTTAACGTTTACAAGCTCCAGGAATTGGGATATGGATATCTTTGGGGGGCCATTTGTAGCCTATCACAGGTAGGTTATAGTACCTCTAGGGATTTCATTTCAGATAGTGAAGGGAGCATCTAGAATATTTTTTTAAGATTTTATTTATTATTTTTAGAGAGGAAGAGGAAGGGAAAAAGAGAGGGAGAGAAGCATCCATGTGCGAGAGATTGGTTGCCTCTTAATACAGCCCCAATTGGGCACTTGGCCCAAAACACAGGTATGTGCCCTGACTAGGAATTGAACCGGTGACCTTTTGGTTCACAGGCTGGCACTCAATCCACTGAGCCACACCAGCCAGGGCTAGAATTTATCTATCTATCGATCTATCGATCTATCTATCTATCTATCTATCTATCTATCTATCTATCTATCTGGGGTTTTGTGATGGATGGTGTTGAGAATCACTGCTCAAGAGGGTTTAAGAAAAAAAAACAAAACGCAGAGCACAAGGGACCATTTTATTGTTTATTTTTCCATCATTATTAAAACTTAAAATACTTATAAAAGAATCATAACTTATTTTAGGAGGAGGAAGCTAGGGGACTATGTCCTCTTTCTCAGTGAGCTCCAGGAAGGACCAAAATTCTCTTTGTAGGTAACAAGTGGTAAATTTCAGTAACTATCTTGACTCTTTTCAAACACCTCAGTGCCTTCTCACTGTTTCAACAAAATCTCCAAATTCTTGCCCTGGCACATGTGGCTCAGTGGCTTGAGCGCCTGTTAACCAAAAGGTTGCCAATCTGGGCACATGCCTGGGTTTGCCAGCCAGGTCCCCAGTTGGGGGCGTGCAAGAGGCAACCGGTTGATGTTCTCTCTCACACATCAATGTTTCTCTCCCTCTCTTTCTCCCTCCCTTCCCATCTCTCTAAAAATAAACAAATAATTTTTAAAAAATCCTCCAAATTATTTAGGATCTGACACTTCTCTGTCTCTTCAGTTTCATTTTCTTCTTTGTACATTATGCAGTAAACTATTTTTTGTACCTTAAGTAAAATATGCAGTATTTGCCTCTGTACCTTTGTAGATGCTGGATATTCTCTCTTGCCTTGTCTGCTAGTCAAAGTCCTTGTTAGCTCAGTCCTCCAGTAATACTGACCCTCACTCCCTGGTCTTAAAGGCGAATCATTCCCCACTCTTAGTTATCACTGTACCTTGCACATATTTAAATTGTTACACTTATCAAACTACATTATAAATTATATACTATGCATCTGTCTCCTCTATTATGCTTTATGCTTTTTCAGGGCAACAAGTCTTACTTATCTCTGTAAATAAAAGAGTATTGGATAAATATATGAACCTCTATCCTGGGCTTTAGTTCTCGGACCTGACCATCTAGATATACATCAAAGTCCGCATATCCAAATGTGAGCTCATTTTTCCTTTGAACCAACACCTTCTGCTGAGTTCTTGTCTCCATTAATGACACCAGTGGCCACACCAGAAACCTCGGCGAGATAACCATAGACATCTCCTTCTCCATCACTTTCCACAGGCAGTCAGAAATGAGTTCCTCTCAATTCTAACTCCTACATTCCTTAGCCTGCTTCTTTATTTTATTCCCCTTGATAATACCTTGTTTCTATCTCCCACTATTTGATTCTTAGTACTTTATTAACAGCCAGGTCTGATGCTAACCTTCTCAGGTACTGTTAGGGAAAATTAGAGCTAGACAGACAAATGAGAAAGGCATTCCCTTCAGGAAGAAGAAAAAGAAAAGGGTTTCCTGAGTGTCCATCCCAACCCAACCCTGAGGCCAAGCTTGGACCAGAGGGCCAACTGTGCCTTTGTAAGAAGAACCACTCCCACCTGGAGGTGGCTCTTGGATGTGCTGCTCCTGGAAATTCCCTTTACTTCTCTCCTGGGCTAGATTTCCTGTTTCTTTGCTACTCTTTTAATTTTGGTAAATGGCATCTTTCATCGCTAAGTAAGTGTGTATGGGGGATAATTTTTGAGTCCTTGCTTCTGTGAAAATGTCATTATTTTACCTTCACATTTAAATGATAATTTGGCTGGGTATAGAATTCTATAGTGAAATCATTCTCCCCAAGATTTTTGAAGGCCATCTTCAGATCAGTACGACAGACATGGAAGAGAAAAGAGTGGCTACTTGAGACGACTGTGGTGTTCTTGGAAAAGATTTAGGTTCTCTTAAAGTAAGAAAGTGAAGGAAATGCTTAGAGAAGAGTTGAGGACACAGGGATTTTGCTGCTGATCGACCATGAGTTCCAGAGAGCAAGGTGGAAGAGTTTTAGGAGTTTGGGAGGGGCAGGGGTGAGGATAGAATATGGTTGACAGAGCCAGATGGGATGAGTCTCTAAAAAATGAAGGACAACCTAGGATTCTTGAAGTGACTGATATAAAATGAGATAAATGGTATAATGAAATTAATTGAAATGATCTCAAGGCAAACAATAGTAACAATGAAGTGAGTAGTGGGGGCTGAGGATTGGGAGCAGGGATTTGACCAGAAGCATGCAAGTCCTAAAACTCTCATCCCCTCCTGGAGATAAGGGTGCAGAAACCAGAGATGGGGAACTTTGAGTTTATTCCCAGAGCAGAAATTTTCCCAAAGAATCACAATGAGCCAACTATTTTTCAGACAGCAGTGTGGGAAATAAGGGTTTTCTTTCAATGAGAACTCATATGATAAAAGTTAATATTTACCAAGGACCTGCCATTTTATATACATTATTTTATTTCATTCTCACAACAAGCCCAAGAGGAAAGTATTCTCATTACCATTTCATAGACGAAAAACTAAGGCGGGAAAGGGCAAAGTACATTATATGCTACGTCAGCTCCCAGGAGAAGTCCTGATAGGCCCCAAACCTTATATAAAATCTAAAATAGCAGAATTTCAAAATAGCAGAAAAAGTCCTTTATTTTTCTAAAGATACAACTTTCTCTTCACCTCTTAACCTCCAGGCAAGCAAGTGAAGAAGTTATTTTGTAAAGACTTATATAGTCCTTTCTCTGACCAATGAATTCTATCTAAGCACAATACTCCTTTATGATAGTTCAGTAAACTGAGGACAATATTTATCTACATGCTATTCTCCAGTATACAGTATTTTATAAAAGCCTACCTTCCAGAGAATTTTACAGTAACTGAAGGAATTCAATCAACAAAAGACAGGTGCATCAGTGTGTATGAAGAATCACAAAGAAGTTAGTTCATAGACCAAGTAAGCTACCAAAGTCAAAGAAAAAGAAAACTGGGGGTTTTCACTTTATATACCTCAAAGTTACAGAAAAGAACAACAGTATCAGAATTTGAAAATTAAATATAGATGAACTGAAGGAGAACCATATATTTAGCCGTACTTGCTAATCATAAACTAAATGTTACTCCCAAGTAATTATAATTAATTTTAATTAATTTAAAATTAAATAAAAGTTTTAGTTAGTGAAAACATAATTCTCACATAATTGATTAAGGCATTAATCTTTTTGGTAAAATCCATAATAAAATAACTTATTAAAGTGTAGATAACTATCACAATTAAGTAAAAAGAATTTTTTCAGAAAAAGAATCAAAATTTCAAAACATGTCATAAAAATTCTAGTCAAGTTGCAGGAGATGTACAACTACAATTCTTTTAATGGTATTATTCTTCCATGTAGAGTGCTGTTATGAACAACTGATTACTTTGAGATTGACATTTGCGTTGTTTCCTAGTATTTTTATATGTCCGCACCTTCCCTAGAAAGCAGGGGTGTACACTGCAGGCTGGGTGGCCAAAAGCATTGGCACAGTCACAGTTCTAAACTATGGATCATAAACCAGTTTTGCAGAAGGATCACCTGGAGGACTTGTTAGAAATATATTTCTAAATCCCACCTCAGATTCTTGGAATTAGAATCCCTGAGGCTTGCAAATGTCTGTTTATAAAAAGACATGCAGGTGTGTCTGAAGCATAGACAGATTTTAGGAATAGACTGGAGCTGTGGATTCTGAAGAGTCTTAAAACTCTCACAAAATACCTTTGGGTGTCTCTCACTTGTTTCAGCCAGAATAATTCCATTTTTATTTATTTTATGTATCTCTCATGCTTCTTAAAGTCTGAGAACTACAAAACCAGCTAGAACAAAGTACACTCACCCACATAGATACTAAACTCATGATTCTGGCGTCATGACTGACCTAACCCAAAGACAAAGAGACTACAGAGATTTGGATCCTTTGAACTTCTTTCTGGTTCTTCCCCCAACAAACTCTAACCCAGAAAACTATGTTGAGTTGTGCAGAACGGCAGGTAAGAAGGTTAGTTTCCTCCTCCCACCCTGTCCTTAGATTTTCTCCAATATAATCGACTCTATATATCCTGGCCTTTTGAAATTCTCTATTTCAACCGCCCTACCTAATGTTAATGCCCACTGGAAATTAGGTTTGAGACATCCAATCTTGTACATCGATTCAATTTCAAGGGGCTGCTTCATAAGTGAATCAGTATATTTTCACTCACCTGTCTGAATACACATACTAAGCAGGAGATGAATTGAGAAAGAAGCCAGGAGAGCAACTATCAGCAACAAGAAACTAAAATATAAAAGAATACACAAAAATTTTTTTAATGGTACCTCATTACAACCGCAAACTTTTTTCACACTTAAATGCTCATAGGGACTGTCTTTGACTAGTTGGATTACGGTCATTAAAGAAAGTAAGAAGATACTTTTCTGTATTTACCAAATTTTATTTAAATGAAAATATACTGCTTTAAACTCAAAAAAGAAATCAGCAAGAAAAAGCTTTATTTAAAATAAAAACAAATTTCCTCTTTCGGCACTCATCTGCTGACTGCTGCTTCACCATTCAGTAATCTTGCCGTGTTCCCCTTTTTTGACTATTTTCCTATTCTAAGTCTAAACAAAGTTTTAGCTGTGAAATCTCATTGTCTTCTTTCTACTTCCCTCCATCCCTCCCCTTAGAATGTGTAGCTCCCTATCATGTCTTTTATTTATGATATTGAATTAAGACTGAATTCCCTATTATCTATTAAACACACACATACTCACCAACATCCCCTCCCCAAATGGAGTGAACACACTTCTAACGACACAATTTGAAAAATATACAAACAATGTAGGAATTGGGGTCCTGTCACCAATAATGTGAAAAGAAACCCCCGGTGCAATCCCCTACTTATCCTCAGGAAGACACTTGACAGAGTAAACTTCTACAAAGCTGTCCCCAGTGGAGTGTCCCAATACTTAAAGAAATTCTATCTTTGTGGTCCATTTAATACTTGCTAATATTCAATAAGCAGCAAAACTGAGAGGTTTAAAGTACACTTGTCAGTAAACTAATATCACAGACCTCACAAAACAACAATTTGGCGTCACCAGATGGGAAGTGCGATGTGTGCTATGATTCAGTGAGCACACTTTCAGTGGTATGCATCTGCACGTAACACCATGGAGTATAAAACGTGACTTTTCAAAGGGAACCAAAAATTAAGCTCTTTGATTATGTCTTGCCTAAGGTGTCACACATGGTTTTAAAGCTTTAAAATTAGGAAAGTTTGTGAATATGTCCCATAATAAAAGCAAATTGAGTTACTTAAAAGTTGGTTTGCTTATCAAGAAATTCAAAATACAAAAAAAACCAAGGCCCCTTCTCTTCCCCCTCACCTTCCCCCAGGCGGGTTAGCTTCGCCTTCTCTCTCCCAAGCTCCAAGGGCCCTCCTACTGCCTCTGTCACTTGTTCCCTAAGTCTACCCAACGCAGCTGGCTCCCTTCTACTACTCCTGCAACTTTATAAATAAACTTTCTCTTATAATTTGAAAAAATTTTTTATTTTTTTAAAAAGTAATTTAAAAAAGCTAAATGAGACTGTGTATTTTAAATTTCCTTGTAAAATAGGTCTGCTTCTACTGACAAAATAAACTTGTACATTCTTTTAGCCATGGTGTTAGATGCTAAAGGTAAGATTCAGTTCTAAGGGATTTCAGAGTTCAGTGGGGACACTAACTTGCAAAGAAATCATTGTATTACATGATAATAACAAAATGAATATACAAAGTACTATGGGAACATAGAGAAGCCAGGAATGTTTTTTTGTTTTGGGCAAATTGGCATATGAGCAGAGTCTTGAAAGATGAAAAGAAATAGGCACAGCCCTGGCTGGGTGGCTCAGTTGGTTGGAGCATCATTCCATACATCAAAAGGTTGCAGGTTTGATCCCCAGTCAGGGCACATACCTAGGTCGCAGGTTCAATCCCCAGTTGGGGTGCATATAGGAGGTAATCAATCGATGTTTCTCTCTTTCTCTCTCTAAAAAAAATAATAATAATCAGTAAAAACATATCCTCAGGTGAGGAATAATTACACACACACACACACACACACACACACACACACACGGTCTCTCTGGAAAAAGTCCAGCCACTGCTAATATAACAAAAATGGTTTGCATAACATTGATGTAATCTGGCAGCCAAGGAGAGTGGACTGGAATGTACATGTGTGAACAATGATGACTTCACTGTACTACTCAGTGGGGGTGGTAGATGTGGTTGAGTGAGCATGTGTACTGTGTGGCTGTCACATTCAAAATGACTAAGCAAGTAGAGCAATGAATCTGCATCAAATTTTGCGTTAAACTTGAACATTCCTCCACAGAAACTATTTGAATGGTACAGAAGGCCACAGTTATGGACAACTGGTAACTGGCAGCTTCATCATGACAAGGCGCCAACTCACACACCTCATCTTGTACAGAGTGTTTTGGTGAAATATCAGATCACCCAGGTGACTCAGCCTCCCTACAGCCCAGATTTGATGCCCTGCAACTTCTGGATTTTCACAAAACTAAAATCAACTTTGAAAGGGAAGAGACTTCAAACTATTGGTGAGATTTAGGAAAATATGACAGGGCAGCTAGCTGATGGTGACTGGGAGAACTGTGTGAGGTCCCAAAGTGCCTACTTTTAAGGGGACTGAAGTGTCATTGTTCTATGTAATGTGTTTCTTGTATCTCATATCTTCTTCAATAAATGTCTCTATTTTTCCTATTAGAGAACACGTCTGGACTCAGAAAGGAAAATAAGACTACTTAACAGTGGGAGGACAGGAGGAGTCATACAGAAATAAAAGATAATGTGCTTTACTTACACTCACAAAGTTGTTATTTATAAGTAATCTGCATGGCTGATAAATTTCAATTCACTTAGGCCAACTTGACAAAACAAATAAGTCGCTCCTTAAGGTTATAAATGGGTGTGGATCAAGTTTTCATTTTTAAAAACTAGCCACATTTTTGGATAAAAATGTGCAAATTACCTATATAGAAGCCATCCAAGCTACAGACTAGCAATAATATAAGACTAGCAGGAAAATGCTAATACCCCAGAAATAATATAACTAGAAATTGTTTAACACCAGCTCTAGAATGTATCTCATTTTTCTCATTTTACTATCAAAATGGAAAAGAAAAAGTAATGGTAAAATAAGAAGAAAACTCACCTAAATCCAAGGATACCAGTATGAGCCATAACATAAGCTAAGCCAAGGATGCCACTTCCCATGATGGCATTCACCAAATTAAACACTGAGAAAATATATGAAACACCTAGGGATCCCTGTCTGTGAAGTTCCTGTAAACACACAAATTTCATAGTGTTAAATGTTTGGACAGTGAATTCGAGTTTCATGAAGAAATGACAGGCAGGTATGGAGAAAAATCTGCAAACTACAGGCACTGTGTGACACATGAGTTGCTCGACCAACACTGGTTGGTTTCCCTTCCTTCCCTTCTCACCTCCCACTAGTACAGCTCAAGGAATATAGTTTCCTGGGAAAATCATCTCCACCAGTACAGGATCTTGTGATTGCAAAAGATTAAGATAGGATAGGAATGGGGTGGGGAGGGGAGGGCGAGCAGTCAGATGGCCTCAGCTCATGTGATTACTAAGGAGTCCCTGAGTCACCTTGAGGCTGCTGTACCCAGCCGTTGCTCTCCAATTACTAGTACTGCAACACTAATTTCTATTTATATGCTTAAAGAATTAAGTCGGCCCAACAGAAAGGATGGTAATACCTTGAATGGCGGTATAATCAGCAATTCATGTTGCTCCGGTGAGGATATACCTAAAAACACCCTCTCCCAAAATAGCATTTGGGAACAAGGTCCTAGATTTGATACCGTCCAGGGACTTGAGTTAAAAAGTCGATTGCCGATTTGCACAGGTTTTAGGGTCAGGAAAAAAGTTATGTGCTTATTGCTGGGCCACCTCCACTCCTTCACCGCTAAGGATTTCCTTATTAAGATGTTTACAGAGTCCCAATGACTAAGTCGAGGAAAGAAAAATTTTGTGACTCTTGGAAAAATCTCACAACACTGGTGGAGGAAACAGGAAGCTGACAAAGATATCAACAAGCAGCAGTAATCTACATAACCCTAGGGCTGCTCCTCCAGTCGTGTATCCCGCTGCACCTGTTCCACCTGAGGCTTCCTGCACCGTTAAGTCAGCTAAGCACGTTAGGCTACTATCACATTTATTAACTCCGCCGAATCGCCTCTGAACCTCGGCTGCTGCTTTTGGGCCCCATGCCTCATGCCCCTCTCCGCGTGCCATCCCTCTTCTTTTCCCAATCTTAATTGTCAGGCACTTCACGGGAGCCGGGTGATGGTCCGCGGCGAGAAGCTAGCGAAGCCAACTTACGTTGCTTAGCAACGGGCTCAACTCTTCCGCCTCCGCCTCTGCCTCCTCCGGCTGCTGGGAAGAGAGGTACCAGCCCGACTCGACGTTGATGACCCCCCAGGGCGCCTGCATACTGCTCGCTGGCCGACTACCACGTCCATCTGCGAGGTACTACCCCTGCCCTCTCGTCGCTAAATCACGCCAGAGGCGGAGCTGAGGGCCCGGTCCTTCCGGGATCCAGTAAAGGGGCGGGAAAGAAAGGAGGGAATAGACGCGATCTGATGACGCTACTCGTCGGCGGCGAACAACGATGATGTCATCGGGGTGCAGGCTTTCCACCAGAGACCGATTTCCGAGCTGCACCAGAGCATGAGGTGAGGGATGAGGTCGCGGGGCCAGGTTTGGAGCGACACCACGAATTAGGATGATGATCTTGGTGAGGTGGCGGCCGCGGTGCCCTTTTTAGTTCGAAGGGGCTGAGCCCACCTGTCTGCCTGGGGCTGCTCTCCGCCTCGCGCTGCCTGGGCGCGGAAAGGTCGCGTGGGCACCCATCATCAGCCCGGGTGCTGAGCCTAGGTCCGAATGCTGAGTAGTGAGGAATCTGTTTATTCTTTTAAAAGCTTTCTGATACATCCTTTAGCCACATTTTACATGGGGGAAGCCGGAACTCATTAAGTAACTGACCAAGCTCACACAGCTTGTTTACTGCTAGAACCAATTTGAACCCTGGCTGTGAAATTTGATATTTGCTTTACAGGGTTCGAGACAAGAGCCTTCCCTCTTGCAATTACTTCGTTGGTATTCTAGAAAGCGAAGTGAATAACTGGTACTCCTATTGGCGTGTGTATATAACACTCAGTAAAGTACCCGTCCTCCAAACACTGAAACCTCTAGTTACAGGTTGGACTTGTGGCAATAAAGCGTCAAAGAAAGCATAGCAATATGTTAGTAACAGGCTCTGAAGTCAGTCCGACCTGAGCTTTAATCCTTGCTCAGCCACTTAACAGCAAGGACACAGGGTGAGTTAACCTACTTCTGAGCTTTAGTTTACTCATTTACAAAATGAAGATGTGACATGGACCACACACCTCCGAAATTGGATGGGTAAATCATTTAGCTTAGCCTCTGACACAGTAAGCACTCACAAGGTTATCCGAGGAAATACTGGCATTGGTAATGCCATAAATATAATGACCATTTCATTTAGAGAGGATCCCTTAACTCAAACCTCAGTATTCCTCAATTCCAAATGTATTCTGTAGCAAATTGTGGATGGAGAGGCTGATAGATCACTACGCCCTCAGCAGGTAAGTTGAAGGTGCAAATTTTTTATTTACCATTTATGAACGTCATTCTGCCCTGGGAAAGATGGTATACTTAACACATACCACTAAAAGTTTTAACTATCAGCATTCAGCAGGTTTGTAAAACAGTATTAAGATTTTCATTCTCAAAACCTATTGTGAACATGTAGATTGGTTTGCAGCTTTATGGTTTTTAAATGAGGTTTTTTTTGTTTGTTTTTTTAGTATCTTATGGAGGCCATTTGGATTCTTAAGAAGACTGCTCAAAGTGGAAAGCTGTGGAATAACTGAATCAAAATCATTGATCCCACTAGCTTGGATATCACTGATCCAGAAACTTAGCAAAGCACCTAATATTTTCTTGCTGGATCAAAGAAAAAGATTCTCAACCATGCCTGAAATAGAAACAGGTCAGAGAGACTCAGACTTGTTTTCACCACCCTCTGATGTTCGAGGGATGACAAAACTTGATAGAACAGCTTTTAAAAAGACAGTCACTATCCCGGTGCTTAAAGTGAGGAAAGAAATTGTCAATAAACTGATTCGATCCCTTAAAAGGGCAGCACTGCAACGCCCAGGCATAAAACGTGTGATTGAAGATCCAGAAGATAAAGAAAGTAGACTAATTATGTTGGATCCCTATAAAATGCTTACTAATGATTCCTTTGAGCAAGCAGAACTCAGTATTTTAAAGCAGCTTAATGTCAGTCCACAGATATCCAAATACAATTTGGAACTAACTTATGAAAACTTTAAGTCAGAAGAAGTCTTAAGAGCCGTACTTCCTGAAGGCCAAGATGTGACTTCAGGGTTTAGCAGAGTTGGACATATTGCCCACCTGAACCTTCGAGATCATCAACTACCTTTCAAGCATTTAATTGGTAGGTCTGTCTTTGTAATATGCCTATACTAGAAAGCAGTTACAAAGTTATAATCTTAGTTTTTTTTAATGCCAAATTGCAGAAGCGGGACATTTTATCTTTCAAATTTTAAGCGGGATCCTATGCTACAAACCCTCTCTTTTGAGGGCCATTTTGAAATACCCTTTCCAGAGTCATAGCAAGGTTTAAATAGCAATTCAAGCTTTTGTGTATACGATACATAAGCATCGATAACACTTGAATCACTTGCTTTGGCAGAATTCTTTGGCAACACATAGGCCTTATTAAACCTCAGGACTATGTTGAATGCTAGGTTTCATAAATTTGAGTGTTTTATAGTCAAAAGTGCAAGACACTGTTTATTCATACTTTTCATGGATTCAACTGAGTCTCTTCTATACGTCAGCACCATACGTTTTTTAGTGCTCTTAGTCTTTTAGAAACTGATTGTGTATGTTGCACCGCTGTAGCTGCCAGTTTGAGCCTGGATCCTGTATTCTTTGGGATAAAAGAGGAGTAACAACTCATCAAAATTGCACTCATCCTTGTATGAATATTTAATGTCCATGCAATCTCCAGATTAATTATTTTAATGTAGAGTAATTGTCAGAACTTCTGGGAATTATTTTCAGCTTTAAAATACAGTGCTCAGTATTTTGCATGAGTAGGATTTCAGAAATATGCTGTTATGCACTTCCTTTGTTTTATTGATGGAAAGGGCTGATAATGCATATTGATAACAATAAATACTTAAGCGGATCCTTGTAATTAGGACTGGGTGCAAATATCAAGTCTAGGCTTTCCTATGAGTTATGGCCTATTCTAACTCAAGCATTACAATTGTCAGTCCTATTTTCTAAACTCTTGTAAGGGGGCACTCACAGATGAAAAGTGAAATAATTTCATACAGTACTAATTTTTAAATTTTTACTATAGACTTTCAGAAGTTTTTTTTTTAATTTGATTCTTCGTTTCAAACTGACTTCAGTACTTTAAAAATTGAGTTCTGGTACCTGAAGCAAAACAGGTTTAGAACAATGATTGAATAGAGTTTTTGACCATATTTAAAATCAAATATCTAATTATCAGAGAAATTAAACAAATGCTGGTTGTATTTCAGTGTAGTTATGTTATTGAGTACTTTTTACTAACGAATCAACTTATTTTTCCGTATACAATGAGATAGCATGTAGATTCTTACTGGTTTTTTAGCTGCTGACATAAAAAAGTAGACTTTTATTAAAGGGCATCAATGTATCACTTCTAGTGTGTTTTATTATCTTTGTAGCTTTTTCTGCTGTGGCAAATATTTGACAAAAAGAACAATTTAAGTAAACAAAAATTTCATTGAGATAAGACCAAAGAATTTGTTTCCTTTATTTGAAAACATTATTTTGCTGCTATATATCTCCAAAGTGGAGGCATGTATTTCAAGTATAGAATAAAACAAACATTTGGTTTGTGGCCAATGCAGAACTGGTATTTCCTGAGACCACTTGTTGTTACCAAGGTCCTTACATCTCTTCTTTCTATTCTTTACCAATTCCCTATGGTCTACCTTTTGCTTACTATAGTATTGGTACCTTTGAGATTTAGTAAAAGGCATGGAAAAATACTAGGTAGACCCAAACTCCTCAAAACTGTTTCCTTAAAAATGTACCCATACATTTTTTTGTGTGTTTGTATTGGAGGCTGTCAGATATTGATTTTAGTAATCTGTTGAATTTTTAGAATTGCATGACACTTTACACAAACTAGATGCAGTTTTTATCTGTAAGCCAAAAAAAGAAAAAAAGAAACAGTTCATTTCCATTTCATACTTGTGGTTTTAGTTTTTCTTTTGCCATCAATAGGAAATATTTGTTATGAATTCTCATCTTTTAGGCCAAGTTATGATTGACAAAAATCCAGGAATCACCTCAGCGGTAAATAAAATCAACAATATTGATAATACGTACCGAAATTTCCAAATGGAAGTGCTGTCTGGTGAGGAGAACATGACAACCAAGGTATGGGGTATTTCATTGTCTCCTAGAATATCAAGATTAATGTTTAGAATCAGAATAGATGACGAAGATTAAAATATTTTTAATATCCAGTATTTAGCATGTGAGAATATGAGCATTTACATATACTGTTGATGAGAGTTCAAATTTGATTCCTTCAGGAAGAATGTATGGTAATATATTACAATTTTGAATAGGTATTCCATATAGGAAGTTGACCCAGCATTCCATTTATAGGAAGCTATCCCAAGGATATAATTAAGGAAAACTGTAATGATACATACACTAGGTTCTTTGCCATTATTTTTATAGGAACAAAATAAACTAATGGAGTTCATTAGTAGAGAATTGATTAAATTCTGGCATAACAATACAATGGAATAGTCCATCATTAAAAATGATCTACCTCTATACTTATTAAAATTGCCATTGACAGGTGAAGCATCAGAAAAGCAAGTATATAACATAGTTCCATTTTGACTAAATACCTAGGTAAATATGCACATACATCAGAATGTTAACAGTGGGCATGTTTGATGTAGTTATTGGTGAGCTTTGTTATCATCTTCATAGTTTTCTACTGACTACGTATTTCTTTTATAAGAAAAACAAAGCTATTTCAGAGAAAAAATAATTTAAAATGTAAATCCTTTGGTATTACCAGTGTTTATTTCAGCTGACATTAAGGCATACCCTTTAGTCACGCTGACTGAACATCATGCATGTTCTTCACTTGGTATTGACTCTTAGGTAACAGGTAACATCATCCTTAAGAGAAGATCTAAATGTTCTGAGAAACTTCTGTAATTTTATGAATGCCTTATAATTGATTTCCTAAATCATAATGTTTGTTCTTAGGACATATTCTATACCTAATATTTTTATCGGAAAATGTTAAGAATTAGTATAGTTTCTGTGCTCCAAATAGAGTCACATTTAAGTTTAACTTTAGGACTCATGCAAAATTTAAATACTATTATATGTATATTGTGAGTAAAATGATTCCTGAAAGTGAATTTGGCAGAAATTAACCCTAAGGGAATGAGGAGGTATCAAAGACAGCATGAATCAATCCAGAAGGATTCTTAGACTCTAACTTAAATTAGATCTGTGCCTCACAGTAAGGACCTTGAAAGGGAAAGTAGACAGGAGATTTCAGGGAAAGCAGTCACAAGACATATTTAGACCTTCCAGGTTATATACCCAGAAAGACTTAGTTGGCAGAATCAGTGGAGGAAACATTTCCAACACTAAAACCTTAATAACATAGTTGTGACATCGGATGTGGTTGAGAGGGGGAAAAATATGTACAAGTTTGGAATTAAACTCCATGATAGCAGAATGTGGATATATGTTTCTATCAGATGTATAGGACTTTCTGGCCTTTGATTCTTCATGAATTAAAATTGGGAAAGGAGAAAATAGGAGAATGATTTGTTCTGTACACTGGCTCTAATTTATAGACATGAAACTTGCAAAGTCCTTGTAACTACCTAAAAACATAGCAAAATATCTGAATAGCTAATGATACATGGCACCTCTATCATGCCTCCCCCTTACAAACTGAAAACAAAATAAGGAGGGAAACTTGATTGCTATGTGGAAGTGCTGTATGCAACTTAGCTACCCACCAGGAAGATACATGTAGTGTGTTGTTTCAAGTCACAGGTTTTTTTCCCCTCCTTCAGGTCAGCCAGTCAACTGGCCTATCTGAAAAATTCCTCATGTGATTCGGGAACCACTTTATGGCCCTTTAGGATGGACGAGATAGGGAGCCATTTGACTTTGAAAAGATGATTTCTCACGAAAAAACCTAATGCAGGATATTAACTGGCCTCAAGTAGAGCATAAACACCAGAATTTTAATTAAAATGCCTTTAAGTGAGCTGTTATTTGCTCTTAATAGTGTGAATTGAAACATGTGTATGTGTGTGGGTGCATCTATCCATATCAGTGGCTGGAATTTTAGACTAAGCAGATTAGCCAAAAGCCTAATATGTTTTTCAGGTTCGAGAAAACAACTACACCTATGAATTTGATTTTTCAAAAGTCTATTGGAACCCCCGTCTCTCTACAGAACACAGCCGTATCACAGAACTTCTCAAACCTGGAGATGTCCTATTTGATGTTTTTGCTGGGGTTGGGCCCTTTGCCATTCCAGTAGCAAAGAAAAATTGCACTGTATTTGCCAATGATCTCAATCCCGAATCCTATAAATGGCTGTTACACAACTGTAAATTAAATAAAGTGGAAAAAAAGGTAAAAGTCTTTAACTTGGATGGGAAAGACTTCCTCCAAGGACCAGTCAGAGAAGAGTTAATGCAGCAGCTGGGACCACTGTCAAAAGAAAGAAAACACTCTGTGCACATTGTCATGAACTTACCAGCAAAGGCGATCGAGTTTCTCGGTGCTTTCAAATCACTTTTGGATGGGCAGCCATGTGGCAGTGAGCGCCTTCCCATAGTACACTGTTACAGCTTTTCCAAAGATGCGAATCCTGCCGAGGATGTTCAGCAGCAAGCTGAAGCTGTGTTAGGCATTTCTTTGGAAGCATGCAGTTCAGTTCACCTAGTAAGAAATGTGGCCCCTAACAAGGAGATGTTGTGCATCACCTTTCGGATACCTGCTGCGATACTCTACAAGAACCACACTCTAGATCTAGGTGAGCAATTTCTGGGAAATTAAATGTAAACTGTAATACCTTTCATGTACCTTTCTTAGACTATACATTATTTATTAAGTTTGGAATAGGTCACACTATTTCTGGTTAGGTATTTCAGCTTACGACTCCTTGCCATTTGTGACTCGTTCTCCCAATGTAACAATTTTAGTATGTCACACTGTTCTGTGTAGGAGAAGCTTATTTCATTAAAATGATAAATCCACAGGAGTTAAATAGATTAAAAACCTTTAAAATGCCTATATTATTTGCTTTTTAAAAGTACTTTCAAATGTTAAGTATCTAATATAGGTTTTCTGGATTTGTTACAGAGAGTCGTGAAGATCCTCCACCTCTTAAACGCCACAGGACAGAAAAAGCCTTTTCAGAAGAAAAGATAGCAATCGCTTAAATCACTTAATTAAAAATGTTTTCTCCATTGCCCCACTATATCCTTACGTAGTGAAATAGAATTTGTACGATTTCATAAAATTTTAGCATTTAGTTACCTTGGTATTGAACTGTTAAATTTACCCATGCTAGCTTATAAATCAAGGATTATCAAATAAAGTTTTAATGAAATAAAGTTTACTAAACATTTTTATTACCTAAATTATGCTACATAATTTTAAAATCTAAATTATTTAAACAAGTTTAAATATGTCTATCTCTTGGGAAAGTAGTTTTGGAAAGCAGGATAATGGCATACTAAGTAAGAAAGCACTAATAGCACTTTGCAGTGATCCTTAGCTAAAGACCATAGCTAAGTTTTATATGGTACTCTTGTACTATCACTATAAAAGTGATAAAAATTATTTAGATCAGGGATATGCAACCATGTCTGGTAGGCCAAATCTGCCTCCTACCTGTTTTTGTATGGCAAGTGGCTTGAAAATGGTTCTTTCATGGTATAAAGGGAGAGTTGAATAGTTGTAACATAGATGCGATGTGTCTCATCCCTTTATACTTCTCAGCACAAATCACAATGACACTGTAATAATTCAACCAAATTTTCATTGCTATGTATGTCACAAAGCAATACATTTTATTATAACCAGTGTATATCTATCACTTGAAAACAAGAAAAGTAGACTTTTTTAAGGTACAGTGGAGTGTGAATGATTTTGATACTGAGTTAGATGACAAAGCACCTACATCTGTGCTAAAATACAAATGTATTTTGACCAAACCAAAAGAAGTGCTCACCACAGTATTTCCAATTCACAGGCAAGCAACTGTCCAAAAAATTAGAAATTTAAACTGGAAATATTATAGAACTCCTTCACAATTAAAAATGAAAACAAGACTACAACCAGAGTAAGTATCCAAGTGACTTGTAAGCCAAGCAATGACAGCCATTTAATTAATTCACTAACTGTGAATGAATTGTGTTTGAATGCAGCATCCAAAGAAATGTGTCCAGAGAAAGTAAACTTTTTAAGACTATTGGCCTTTTGGCAAGAACAATTGCTCAGAGTGGAGAACACAGGGAGCAATATCAATAGTCAATTAAAAGGGTAAATGAGTCCAAATGGTTCTTTGGTACTTGATGAGTGATAGATGTTACTAATAACTGCCCAGTTATTGTTTATCTGAGGTGTCAATACTGAATTTGAAGTTACTAAAGAATTAGCTCCTGAATACTCTGCATGAAACACCTACCAGTGAATCTTTTCAAAGTTGAGAAAAGTAATTCTGTACAACCTGAAGTAGGATCTGCTAAAATGTTCTGATGGTGGTAAGACCTAGTTGGAGAAATTTACAAAGCTTGTGAAAATGTGAGGTGTTTAAAACCTATGGTTATTCACTATCTCACCAGCAAGTACCTCACAGAAAATTTTTTAATCTATCATACGTTACTGAACCAGTAGCATCAATGGTAAACTTGTTTTCATGGACTTGAACTATTCTGTAGTACTTGAATTTTGTCAGAAATTGAAGCTGAATTTCTTGACTTGCTGGATTTAAATTTGCTTTGCTTAGCAATTGTAAAATTTGATTGCAATTTTTTTTGAGATCAGGGTCAAGACTGAAATTTTTCTGAACAAGAATAACCAACCTTGAACACTATTCTTTGAACAACTTTAGAAATTAGCTTTTGCTAAAGGTCATAATATTTCTTAAAGATTTCAAGCTACAAGTACAAGGCAGACATAACTTTAATGTGAAAACATACTGCACTAGTCATTTCAACAACGGACATTTGAATCACAATATCCTGTGTTGTACATTTCTCATGCTATCAGCTCATGCTAAAACAATCAATATTTCCCTTCTCGCACAAATTAGCAGTGGATATACTTTCTGAGTTTAGCATTTTTGGGACCTTGGTGCAAATGCAAAGGAAATTTCCCTATTTCAAGGGACATTTAACTACAATAGAGCTTCCACCTAATCTTCAATTGAAAGTGAATAATGCTCTATGTAATGACATGCTAAAAGGCAGATATCAAGAGAAGAATCTAATAGAGTTTTACAAATGCCTCCCAAGTGATGAATATGCTCAGGATCATATGCTTCTGAGATGGTGTATCACTATTACGGAGTACCTCTCTGTGTTGACACTTTCGTAAAGGTGAAATGTGTAAAATCTCATTACAAATAACCATTAACAGATGATAACTTACAATTGATTTTAATAATAGGAAGTATTTAGAACCCTGATTAAAGGAAATGCTATTCCCCTCCGAAAAAGGGCATTATAAAACATAGTTATATTTGGAATTTTGTTAATTAAAAAAGTTATGCCAATTTATCTCGTTACATAAGTACCCACTTTAATGCCATTGATTTTGCCTCTTAACCCCCAAAGCCTCATGGATGTACTGTCTGGCTTTACAGAAAGTTTGAGGACCCTTGATCCAAGTCATTAATTACAAATTCAAATGCCTTCAGAGGCCAGGAAGGTAACATAAATAGATGAAGACAATAAAAAGTAGTAAAGAAGTAATGAATTGGCGTCTTTCTTCCTTATCTAAAGGCACTTTAAATTGTTTTGAAATTCAACCCAATCTATCCTGTGCAAGAGCTTGAGGGCTAATTCAGCCAAGGATTGCTAGTTTGGGAGTTATTTTCTTACCCTCCTTGACCTTCCTGGGAGAAGTAAGTAGGTCAGTGGTCAGCAGACTTTTCTGTAATGGGCCAGATAGCGTTTTAGGCTTGCAAGCGATGAGGTCTGTAGCTTCTCAGCTCTGCCAGTGGTAGCCCCAAAGCAGCCACAAACGATACATAAACACAGTGTTCCAGAAAGACTATGGCCACTGAAATTTAACATTCACATGCTTTTCGTATGTTAAAAAGTTTAATCTTTTGGCATTTTTCAAACGTGAAAAGGTGACACCAATCTTAGCTTACAGAGCATACAGAAGCAGGCAGCAGCTGGGTTTGGCTGGGGGTCAGCAGTTCCCCTTCTATCTAGATGAGGAGAATTAATTTGCAAGGAGGAATAAAATTTTCTTTTCATAGTGTACATTGAGTGTGGGTACAAATGATGTTCTTATTTGTACAAGTGGTAAGATTCCTGCCTCCCTTTAGTCATGCCTCAATTAGACAAAATATGTGGCATACAGATGTAAAGAAAACAGTTCTTAAATGCTTCCATTACTATTTTAACCTCTCCCCCCCTTTTCCCTCGGGGTAAATGAACATGCGATTATTTCATTATTTAAATCTTGGCCCTCCCTAGATGTGATACTTGGTAACTAAACTCTTGATGAATCCACTAGAAAATGACAGTTATAAAGTTCATTAGATACAATTTTTGAATTGTTAATTTTTGACATTTTGTGCCACCTCAATTTGAAATGATTTTCTGACCACCTGTTGACATCCTAAAGACTACTTCTAAGAGAAGCTTAGATCAGATACGTTGAATGAAATTAAGGAATACTGAGTGAAAATGCATCCTAACAGTGATGTAAATATATTCAATGCCATTAGTATTTGCTTAAATGGGAGTATAATAGTTAATAATCGTGTTCTACATAATGAAGTTCGTAAAACTTCTCTCAAGGAATTGAAGAAGGCTATTTAACTGATGCCATTTATATCTCATAAAAAACTAGATACTTGATCTATAAAATTTCTTGGAGTCTTAAGAAATTTTCTACTCAGCCTTGATTTTACACAGGTGTCACTTGTAGGTTTGAGTCTGTCATCTGTGGAGCACAAACTCTGAGGTTTGACCACTTGGGTCCGAATCCAAACTCTGCTACTTTGTAGTTGTGTTGGCCTTTGGCAAGTTACTTACCCTTTCTATGCCTCAGCTCCTCTATGTGTTAAAATGGGGAAAGTAAGACTAGCACTGTTTTAAGGATTAGAAAATGCTCAAAACAGCAAGCACGGTGCTTGGCATGTGCTCAGAAGTTAGCTTTTGTATTTCTTGTGCTCGTGTTCTAAAATGTTAAAAGACTTCATTCATGTAGATGAAAGACTGGTACAACCTTTTGTCTGAGAGGGGAAATCACAGGAAGAATAGGGAATAACCTCATCAATTTAGAATATTTCTGGTATTTAGTGAGTTGTCATTATATTGTCTTTGACCATTCCCTTTGATCTAATAGGAGCATTTAACAACTTCTATATTCTGCCTATTGAACAAAACATGGCAATAGTAAGGGCAAAAGATTTACAAACGTATAAAAGTTTTGGAATTTATTTCCCAAATCAAGTGCAGGCAATTCCCACAACAAGAAAGAAGCTCAAAAAGTCTCGAAAGCTTTTAAAATATTCTATCAATTAGTTAATTCATTTAAAATGTCATGCAAGGTACTGAGAACTAGTAACAGTGTTTATTTTTAAAAGACTGGATACCTAACTTTGCCAGTTGAGTAGAGCAAAGCCTTAACACTGGGTCCAAATTCCGCACTGTTCTTTGAATAGATTTATATATTTTACTGAAAATGCTAATCCTGAGTTGGGGAATACCGGAGACAGGAGAAACAGGATGCAGGCTGGTAGACTATATAAATCTAGACTTAAAAACAAAACACCTGTTTTCTAGTTCTGGCTTTTTACTACTTTGTGTATATTATCTTACCCAACTCAATTATTTGATGCCTCAGTTTTCTTAATTATCAAAGATATAAGTACTGTAAAGATGAAGATGTACTCCTGAAATTAATACCTGTTTAGTTAAATAAGATTTGTGTTACATAAGGATATTCCAACCTAATGTAACCAGTCTTGTTTCACATAACTTTCCACCCATAAAATTAACATTTGTTGTAATGGAGATTTGATAGGAAATCCCTTAATTTGCTTGAGAAACTATGACCCATACCCAGTGGCCTACATCACAGAATAATAGAAGGTTGGGATCCTACAAATATCCATCCTATCCACATCTAAACTCTTCAAGCAAAATCACAGATACACTAAAAGTCTTTGAAGTTCCAGCAGAAACTACATGAGAGTCTCATAGAGGAATTTCATTTAAAATGTATCCATTCTGCAGTCTCCAGGGTTTCATCATAAAATGAGTTCACTTTAGAGGTGAAAGGCTTCATTTAAGTATTAAATTTTATTAACTTACTTCTTTGAATTTGTCATTAAAACAGGTTAATACTCTTCTCTGGTTTAGCCTAAGTGTGGTTCACAGCTGGAAACTTTAACCTTGATCAAGGTTTGTCTCATGTTCCACTGCTCAAAACAGGCACTGAGTCCTTAATATTAAGAGAGTGACATTATCACAGGTCAGGTTTTACTTGCCATTTCCTGCTGGTAGAAGGAAATATATCCACTTGTCTGGACCAGTATTAAGAAGACATTGGGAAAAAAAGAAAGGAACATTTTATGAGAAGAAATAATAGACTTGCATATTAACACTAAATGTCGTATTCAAAATGGTATTTTATAATGTGTTCAAGTGAAACACTGTAATAAGAGAAAAACCACAAAACTTAACATAAAGTCTAGCTTTATTTTTAAAAAGATTTTACAAGTCTGTCAACCTCAAATATATACATAGGTAAAGGATTCATATCTTCCATTAGATGAGGCTTCCAGCTTCAATCCCTCTCAAAAAAAAATATAAGTAAAAAATAAATCTTTTTCCACGACTATTTATCCACTCTATCGCTCAGCTTAGCTCTGAAATTGTCTCTTCATAAATAGTTTAATACAGCTGCTTATGGTAGTGCTGTTGTTGTGCAGCTGCATATGACTTCAATTTTACAAGTTTGCTTTACTTTTGCTAGCTCCCCAGTTCCTCTCCCAAGTCCAGATCTTATAAAGGAGGAACAAAGGTTAACGGGCCTGCCAGAAAAGCCCACTGAATGCATCCTGTAGGGCTCTGTGACAGGCAAGAGAAGACGTGTAGCCTCCAGCAAGGTCCTGTGGAGAGGCTGCTCTGACATGGTTTAAATACCTAAAACAAAACAAAAAGGTAGCAATGATATAAAAAGCACATAAAACTTGGTAACATTTTTATAAGCAATAGTAAAGATGCGGACTGAAAAAAGAGGCCACATATTAAACCTGACAAGCTCAGGCGAGGCATCCATGGCGGGTCTTACGTACTCAAGAGACCTAAAGTAACGATACAGCACGCTCTGAAACTAGGACTTCCAGTCCCTGTCTCAGGCTGGTATCTTCCTTGACAAAGGTCAATCTTTACCTTACTTAAACTGCCTATTGTCTTTCTGCATCTACTGTAACAGGAATGTCAGGGTAATTTCCTTTTTCCAGACCTCTCAGGGCACAATCTCCCACTTGAGCAGAGCCCACAAAGCCCCTCATTGTTATTGTTATCACGTTAATTGTAAGCTGTTAACTATCCTATACCCACCAATGTAAAAAAAAGTATGTGTCTATTCTTTACATCTTACACAATCCCAGAGGTTTTCCCGCTTTGCTTTCTCCTGCCTCCCTAAATCTCTCACCAATGGAGCTCATGCATCACCTTTACACCTCCTCACTTGATTGTAATGTATAGAATAAGTTGCAAAACTGCCAATTCTCTGGAGCGTTTTCTCAGCCCATTGACATTTTGCTTCCCAGCAATTTTCATCAGTTTGGCTCAAATGAACTCATAAAAATTCTCAGAGGTTTGGCTGACATCGACAAGCAGATTCAACTTCTAAAGAGGAATTCCGATTCTGAAATGAACATCATGAGAGAAAAGCTTTCATTTCAGATGAAGGTTGACCCAATGGTGAGGGACAATATGGGTAATGCTCTCTGCCAAATGCTGTATTTGGAACTCCAACAGCACAAAGATCTTCCAACAGTTCAAATTTAAGTCTGTTTCAATTAATGTTCATCTAAAATAAGAATTTTCTTTAAGTCATTGAGGTTTCTTTCAGTAGCCCGAGCTGCCAACCAATCATATACTTTTTTCCCTGAGGATATAATCTGCCCTAAGAATGAATAGTTCTCTCCAGTTCTTCAAGAGCTTTGGCTCACTTTCTGGAGGTCTCCAGCTCTTTAGCTGCATGGCTGATCTTTTCATTTGCTTAAGAACGTTGTCCTCTTTCTCTTAACCAGTAATTTTCTACTGTTAATTTCCTGTAGTATGATTTCATTTTCTTGATACAGTTCAGTCATTAAGTTTCTACTGAAGCTTTTGATTGTCATTGTCAAGGTGTTCATTTCGTTTTCTGGCTGCAAAGATGCTTATTCAGTCTGGAGATTTCTAATACACTCTATAAGCTCTTCCTTTGTTTTGTCTACTTCAGTTAATTCAATGTATATTTGGTTTCTTTCTCCTTCTAGTGTTTTTAAAGAAGCCTTTAACTTAGCAGCATGAAGCTACATTCTTCAAAGCTCCTTTTGACTGATTAAGTGTGCACCATTTTCTGAATCACTTCATTTCCAATTCCAAGTTAGCATCTGTTAAGTCTTCACCAAGGACAGCAGCCTAATCTTGCATCTTTAGATCAGAGACTTGATCTGATTTTATCAGGTAGAACTTATTTTGCACATATTTTGGAGTCTCCAAATGTTACTTTGTTTATTAAGTTCACTCACTTGTTCTTTGTATTTTCAGATTCTTGTAAAAGCTGTTTCCTTTCCTGAAGTTGGGAATTTTCACTCCAAGAATCTTTTATAGCTATCTGAAGTCATTCTTCATACATTTCAAATGTTCTGAAGGCTGTTTCAGCTTCAGCTGCTTGTGATTTGAGTAGTTCTGACTCAACTTATAAGGATTGTATCCTTTTTGAAATATGTCACCAGTTCATTCTGTTCAGAATGTTTATATTTCTCTTCCTTTCACTTTTTTTCTAGAAACAGTATTCCTTCCTCAAATTCAGATTTGGAACTGTTCAGCTTTTCACAGATTGCCTCCAAATTTTGAGCTTCTGCTGACTCCTCAAAGCTGGAATCCTTTAATGACTCAGCCTTCATACTCTTTGTAGGAGGCTAAATATTTTAAATAGTTTACGTTTTTCTTTGATTAGCGTAGAAAGTTCTACAGCAAGCTTTTTCCCTCCACATGAAGCCAGCTTCTAATTGATCAAAAACTTCTACACAAAAAAAATAAGAAAAATAAAGAAAACAGCAAAAAAAATCCAATAGCTGCACATGTCCGCAATTCCCATGGAAACCCATAGTGCTTAGGGCCTTTTCTCCTCTCTTCAGGCAATGCTGCCACAACCTTGCATAGCTGTGCCAGTACCAGCCCCAAGTACGGCTGAGTGGCAGTTCTGGGCTCCTCCGTGGCGCCCAGGCTGCCTTGCATACAGCGGCTGTAGCCGGGGGCCTCACTGAGCCACAACCAACAGCAGAGAACACGCAGGAGCATCCGTCCATCTGTTCACAGTCCATCTTTCCACAACCCAAACCTGCGCTGGCAACCGGTCTAGACCAGAACACTGTGGAGCCGGCTGCAGGCGTGTTGCTGGAGGGTACGGAGCCTAAAGGCCTCAAGTGTCCGTGTGTCCACTGGGGAGCCTCAGCCCCCATGCTGCGCTTTGGGTCCAGATCACCCAAGGACCCAGCCCCTCCTGCAAGAGCCTGTGACTTGCCCTCTCCTAGTCACCTCATCCCTCGATTTGGTTTCGGCCAGGCCAGATGAGAGGCGGGGACACGGTAAATTTCCTTTCCTTTTTCCTGGAGGCTTGTAGACATGTCCTGGGAGTTGCTCTTAAAGGAACCAATGCTCTACCTGGCGAAGCCTCCTACCTTTGCAAGTCCAGGGGCTCAGGCCCAAGAAAACTGGATTTAGCCTCAAGCTCTGCACTGTGTGTGGGCCACTGAGAACTGAGAAAGGGGACTTTGGCCCAAAACCACACCCCAGCCTCCACCCCCGCCAGCTCCTGTCCACTGAGGGAGCTAGGCTTCTCCTGGAGACACCTTGGCGCAGCCTGGTGGGTTGAGTGCCGCGTGCCCGCTCCGCCCAGGGGCCGGCGGTGGACCCGGCGCCACTTCGCAGCATTTTCCTCTCGCAGCTCCACAGGGGCCTTCTATCTGCACCCCATGGAAGCCCTGATCGTATCCTGGGGGACCCGCCAGTCCAGGAAAACCAGCCCCCATCTTCATTCCAGTTAGAAAATGGCCTGCAGGGCCTGGGCCTGTGTGTCCTGCCCGAATTTCTAAAAATAAAAGTATTAATTCCACTGTTCCCAAAGTGTTCTTTTTTGTGTGTTTTTACGTATTCTCTCATGTGTGTGTATCTATATTAAATACAGATAAGCCATTTGAGAGGGATCTATTAATGATATTTTAGAGAAGTCATTTTCAAATGATGCGGCAAGATCTTTGACAATTTATAAGCCCTTCAGACCTATATTTAATTTACAGAAGATTTCTTTATGACGAACCCTTAAAGCACAGAGCTTGGGACAACTGCAGCTTGCTGTGTCTTCACTAAAAAACAAAGTAGCTTTGGTTTGACTACTTCAAACCAAAACACATTAAGTCTTTTATGAATACTCTGCTGAGTTGTGTTCTACGTTTTCTTTATTCCTTCTTTCATTTGCTTTATATTAGTATGATAATGCCTACTACTCTATGATAATTTATATTATTTTTTTTCTTCTTTAAAACAGTGTTACTTTTGTTTAAATTTATTTGAAAGCATTCTTAGAGGTGATCTGTGGGCACTCCCTGGATGCAAATGGACCCATTGCCAGTTGCTGTCCTTGAGAGTTTTACCACTACCTATGACATAACAATTGAGTCCTCATGCAACTAATCTGATTGTTCATCATTCATTACATTTTTGTAAACGTTGACAGTTTTGGGCTTTGGTCTCTACTTTCTATTCTTCCTGCTTTAAATTGCCCAAACATATTCGACTAAAATATAATCAAATTCTGAGGGAAGAGTAATACTGTCTTCACGAATAAAAATTTGTACTCATGGTCAAAAGGATATCAAAAAAGAGAATGACCTTGGAAGATTATTGTGTTATACACATGTGTACATTGAACTCTATCCCTGTTATCAAGGAATTACAGATGGGGAAGGCTTATCTATTCGCATTTACATTTGTTCTGAAACAAATACATAAACAAATGGAGGAAGGGAGAGAAACTACTAGTTGCTTTAAAATTACTTTAATTTACAAAATGGACTGTCTTCTTTACAAGAAAGGAAACCTTAGAAAATTACATGTCTAAGAAATCTCTGAGACTAAACCCTGAGTTCGAAAATCGAAAAAAGTCCCAATTAGTAAATACAGAAGAACCTTTGATCTCAAAAGACAGTGTTAAAAGACACTATTTTTCTTCAATCACTCATAGTTATTTCGCAGTTCAAACTTTCTACCTTGATAATGGTACACAAGCAGCCTGAGAAAACAGGAGAATCAGAACCAAAGAGGGGCAACTTGTTAGCATGACTACCAGCACTGCTGGGAAACACACTATTTCTAGCTTTGCTTTAATGCCTAGTTTAAGAAACCACATTGTTTCTTCAGGCCTCAGGAAGTAAAGGAGCTTCACCCACCTTAGAATTACGGGTATGGCAAATGAATAAATCAGGCACCAGAACATTTTAATAACTTGGAAACTTTTCTACTCATTCATTCAAACTTCCTGTGTGTCAAAGTCTTGATGCATGGGCAACTTATTATTTCTAACATAATAACAAGTCTGTTTTTCATTTGTATCCATGTTTAATAAGCTTGTGTGATTAAAAAATATATGGCGTTATAAGAAGCCAAATAGAAAAAGTGGTCCAAGTAAGACACGGCATAAGCTCCTGGAATTGGCTATAATTTATTCACATTGCCACAAATCAAGGTGTTAACTCAATTCTTTGCTTCTCTGCCAAGGGTAAAAGGGGAAAGTGGAAGGAAAAGGGAAATTAATATTTATTGAGCAACAATCTCCAAACTTTTTTGATAGTTTATTTATAGCAGTAAAAAATTTGATCAGGTATCTCTAAAATCTGAGTATTTAGAAATTATATACATGTAGTATT